ACTAAAGCGTTCAGGTTCTATCAATTTCATGTTACTGTTATTCTTAGCTTTTTAAATATACTTAAAAGCCCAATCTATTTCATTTATTCTAGAATGAAGCTTTGCTCCTTGTTGCCCAAAGTGAAGGCTACTCTGAAGATCCCCGCCGACAAGCATCTACTTCAGCAGTTAGAAATGTGTGTGAGGAAGCTCCTCTGTCAGGAAAAAGATAAAGACGTCCTGGCCATTGTCAAAAGGGTGTGTATCACTCTTGTAACGGCTCTTGCATTTCTTGCATTTAAGACAGAGTGCATTATAGCCACAGCTGCAGCGGAGAGGAAGGCCCTCCAGGAGCTGGAGGGACAGTGGCTGAGCCAGTGGGCTCGGGCGCAGGAACGATTGTGAGGATGGCGCAGGACGTGGCAGTGTTTCCTTCTGTTGGGCTCAGGGTTGATGGGGCTGACCGGACTCTGACGCCTAGCAACAACGAAGTATAGCTTCACCATCTTACTCGATAGGATTGGGCTGAGTTAAACTGCTCATTTCTTTGCTATGAGCAGTGTGAGAAACGTGCTTTGGTTGAAGCATGACAACAGTGGTGAGGGTGGCTCAGGACCAAGCGGTGTGTGGCCCTGCTGTCCCCAGGGCCGCTACGATTCAGAATCAACTAGACCGCACCTGCCAACAGCAACAACAGAACTGGACAGGAGAGTTATTCCTAAAAGGGCACGTAGCGAGTAGGCTTTTACTGCTAGCAATACACATTTCATGCGAGTGTGTTTGACACACGGTCAGTGTCAGTATGTACTAATAGTGATCACTCCATTCACCAGACCTTGATTCTACCAAACTCACTGCCATCCGGTCAAGTCCTACCCAGAGCTTGCCCTATGGGACAGGGTTGAACTGCTTATGGGAGCAGAAAGTCTTGTCTTTCCCTCATGGGAGCGGCTGGTGGTTTCTTCCAACTGCTGACCTTGCTGTTATGCGGCCCCACACAGAACCCACTACACTACCAGGCTCCTTATTATAGGCTGTGGTGTTATTGTCAGCAATGACAACTCAGTACAACTTTGCGGGCAGACTTGGCAAAGTCCATTGCATAGAAATGCAGCCCGCAGAATTTATCCTGTAGTCAGTGTGATCCAGAAATGTCAGTGGTCGGCTCGACTTGATATAATTCTCTTACCCCTGAGCACATCCGTATTTATGGATGAAACTGTGTGTCTGTGATTTCTGTGGGCTGGTTTTAATTTGGCATGTGACCTTATTTTGTGAATTGTTTGGGAGTGTGGAAAACTAAAAGAGTCAAAACTTAGGTCAGAGAGGTCAAGCCTAAAAATAATTTACAGCTATAAAACATTTTCTTGCTTAATCTATGCCTAATATTTTATAAGATTAAATAAAATTGACATGATTACTTTTGTCAATCTGAATGTGAACTTGATAAAAAAAAAACCAACCCAAACCCACTGTCTCAAGTTGATACTGACTCATAGTGGCACCACATAGAATTCCCAAGACTCTAAATCTTTATGGGAGCAGATGGCCTCAGCTTGTCCCCAACGAGCAGCTGGTGGATCTGAACCACAGCTCTTGAGATTGCATGTATTTAGTATTTTAAAATAGCCTTGTATGCTTTCTTTTCTTTTTTAACACTTTTATTGGCACCTCATCCACAGATCATACAATTCCATAGTTCAATCATATCAAGAAGAGTTATACAATCATCACCACGATCAATCCTAGAACATTTTCTTCTTCCTTGCACTCTTGTTACTTGTGAATTGTTTTCTTCAATTGTGGCAAAAATATACACGACAAAATACTCTTCCATTCAACAACGACTTGTATAACTCAGTGCCATTGAGCCCATACTCTTTGTGTTGTACAACCGTCATGGATACCCCTTTCCAAACAAACCCAGTGCTGCCTAAGGAAAAACTCTTCCTTCATCCACGGTCATCACAGGTCAAGCTTGTTTTTTTTAAAAGTAGTTTTCTTGATCTAGTATTCACATATTATACAACTTCCATAATTAAATCAATTTTTTGAAGAGTTTGTATATACATCATCACAATTTAGATTTGCTTTTCTTAAGGTTAGAAAAGTTTAATGAATCCTGGCACAATATCTAGAAGTTGATTATAAATATTACTTACTTGACAGGGTCAAGCTGACAACAGTTACTGAATTCTACACAAATTACACACATTATATGTTTGTAACATACAAACATATGTTTGTAACACAACCTACTTAACACAGTGGCTTTCTATATACACTGCATGTTGTATTTAGCTGTTCTGTTAGTGTATTATTTGAGGAGAATGCAGTATCTGTAGTGAGAGAAATATGTTTTAAATAACAGCATTGACAGTATTTATTAACTTGAAAGGAGAATCCTATAGTTGTTTTGTTTCTTTAATCATTTTATTCGGGGCTCATACAGCTCTTATCACAATACATCCATCCATCCATTATGTCAAGCACATTTATACATTTGTTGCCATCATCATTTCCAAAACATTTTCTTTCTACTTGAACCTTTGGCATCAACTCCTCATTTCCCCGCCTCCCTCTCCCACCCTCCCTTTTTCACGAACCCTTGATAATTTATAAGTTATTATTTTTTCATGTCTTACACTGTTCCAATGGTTCCCTTCACCCACTTTTCTGGTGTCCATCCCCCAGGGAGGGGGTTATATGTAGATCCTTGTGATCGGTTCTTTTTTTTTTATGGCAGTGACATGTTACCTGAGACACATAAGAAGTGTTTTAATAAATGCATTTACCTTAGTATCAAGTGGTATATTTTATTTTACTGAAATGAGCTCATACAACTTGTCATCATTTTGCATTTTGTATCCCTACTACTGACTCATAGCAACCCAGAGAAATACTGCTCGGTAGGGTTTTGAGATTGTAAATCTTCACAGGGCAGACAGCCTCATCTTTATCCTGTTGGTATTTTCATCTGGATTTTGAAGAGGTTGCTGATTTAGCCTTTCACTGCCTGGTGTAGGAATCTCCTCTTTGAACCCCCTACTGGGAAAAGCGTGTCCTAAGAAGTGATTGGTTGATTCAAGTTAGCTAATGTTTAATACTCTGTGACACTTCTCTTTATAGACGGTGTTAGAGTTGGACAGAATGGAGATGTCCATGGATGCTGTAAGTACACTTACTTTACTTTATACTGAAAGGAACATGTAAACATGGACAGAACGTCATTTATACTCCCCAATTTTATTTTAAACTCTGAACAGTTTCAGAAGAAGTTTTATGAAAAGGATTTACTGGATCAAGAGAAAGAACGAGAAGAACTACTACTTTTGGAAATGGTATGTTGTTTTAACACATGGATGTGTTGTTCAGTATTTTGCTCAGAGAATCTTCCAAAATTGCAACTCGGGGCTTAAGTATTTTCTTCAACTTTTTCAGCTTGAGGAAAGTCCAATGTGCCTGTCCCTTTGGGCTTTCTAAGTCCTGGTCTTTGGTATTTCCTAATAAGACTGCTTTGTTTTCTGGAGCCCACCCTTTGCAATCTTCTGTCCATCATCATTTCTTCGATTCACTTTTGCTACTGTGTGCTCAGAGCGAATTTCAGTCTGTTCTGCCGTCCATTCTGGTCCTTTAGTCTTTGTGTGTCACTTTGATGCCATTCTCTCTCTCTAAGGAATTCCACCAGGTGATCTGGGTGAAGTTTTTATCACCGGTGCCGTAGTTTCCAACCACCTATCCTTCACCTGTTTCCAACTTCTGCATTGTTTATGAATCACCAGTAATTATCCATGAATCTTAATTGTATTTGCTCAATTTGAGATTGTAGAAATTGGTAAAAATCTTCAATTTTTTCATCTTCGGCATTAGTGGTTGATGCATAAATTTGAATAATAGTCATTGTGTCAGACTAGCTTCTCCAGAGAAGCAAAACCAGTGGTGTGTATGTGTGTATGTGTGTACATGGAGAAAGAAATGTATATCAAGAAAGTGACTCACACAATCGTAGAAGTGGGGAAGTCCAGTTTGGTTCAAGTCCGAGGGTCGGGTGCTAACTATGCTGGAGGCTTTTTCCTCACCCACCCAACCACCAGAGCTGGCAAGCCAGCAAGGAATGCAAACCCGGAGTCAGAAGGCGAATGTAGGTGAATCTAAGGTCAGCAGGTCAGGCTTATGGGTGCAGAGTTGAATGAATCCAAGGGCAGCATGCTATATGGCAGGCTGAGGAATCAAATCCAAAGAACCAGAGATCCGTGAGACAAATGCAGGCCCCAGATCAGCAAGAAGAGGCAAGCCTTCCCGTGATGTGCTTAACCAGGAGTAAGCCACACCGCCGAGGGAGGAAAGAAACGCCCTTTCAGTTGGACCAGGTCTGTGAGCTGAGCCGACTCAATGGCAGTGAGTTGGTGAGTTTGGTGCCATAGTAGATTGTCTTGTTTGTCAAATTCAAAATGTCACTCTCCGTCCATTTTAGCTCACCAGTGCTTAGGATTTTACGTGTTCCATTTCACGTTGGAAGACTTCTTGTGTTCCTAGAGTCATGCTGTGTACATTCCATGTTCCCATTATTAATGGATATTTGCAGCCATTTCTTGTCATATTGAGTCATTCCACATCGGCCAGCCCAGGTCCTGAAAGCTTTTTCCAGCGACAGCATGTGGCCGACTCTACTTAGAGGGAGCAGCTCTTCCCCAGTCAAGTGTTTGAGTGTCTTCCAGCCCGAGGGGCTCATCTGCCAGCACTCTACCTGACAGTGTGCTCTGGCTCTTCCTAAGGTTCCTGGTCACATCTCAAGAGTAGACTTTCAAGTCCTCCTATTTAGTCTGTCTTAGTCTAGAAGCTCTGCTGAAACCGATCCCTAATGAATGGCCCTGCTGATATTTGAAATACTGCTGTCATAACTTCCAACACACATGCCATCACAGTACAACAGACTGACAGATGAATTATTCACAATATTCTCAGTGCATTGTTACTGTGGCTACAATCTGTGGAGATAACCCCTATCGTTCTGACCTGAGTGATTTGTGTTCTCCCTCTCTTTGGGCTTTTTGTGCATAGGATCACTGTGAGTCAGAACTGACTCGGCAGTCCCTAACAACATCTCTTTTTTAAATTACTGTTTGATGGTCTCACTAGCGATGACAATATACATGCCTAAGCTTTTACTGTCTGCTTACTATTAGTATGGTAGTTTCATTATTGCCACTCAAGGATGATATTTATCGTTATAACATCTTGACAATATCTTTGAAAATTTTGAAAGTGCTGATGTGTTCTTTTACCTACTCCACACTGCTATTTTATGTTAGAGTTGTAATATGAACTAAATCTGTAAGCATTGAAAGCCCTACCAGACACTGTTGGAATTTTTATATTAAGCTATCATGCATCTTCATTCATGGCTTAGGATCTATATTTACCTTTTGTATGATTTTTCCCTTCAGCCTGAAGAATTTTCTATGTAGTAGTCCTTGTGATGTAATTTATCTTCATTTCCCCTTTATCTAAAATATCTATATTTCAGGTTCATTCTCGAAAGTTATTTTTCATTGGATATAGAATTTTGGGTTCATAGACTTTCTCTGTCCTTTAAGAATATATTTCTGCTTGTCTTCTGGCTTTCCTGTCATCTGAAGAAAAGCCTGTTATCATTGGGATTTTTCTTCTGTCCGTAATATTGTTTTTCTCTGGCTACTTTCAAGATATTTTCCTCTCTCTTTTGTTTTTACTGGTTTGATTGTGATGTGTCCAAGCATAGTTTTAATTTAATTCATTCTGTTTGGATTTGCTGACCTTCCTGAATCTGTAAAGTATGGCACAACCCAATTTTGGGCCATTGTTTGTTTAAATATATGTTTAGCTCCAATGTCTACTTCTGGGTCTCCAATTATGCATATATTAGACATTTTGACATCATCCCACTGGCCCATGTGGATTTATTCTTTATTAAAATTTTTTTTTGCTTTGCAGACAGAATACATTTTACTGAATTATTTTCAGTGTCACTCATTGATCATGTCCATTCTACTGTTGATCCAATATGGTGAAGTTTTATTTATCTCCAATATTATATTTTTCAGTTCTAAAATTTTCATATATATATATACTGCTCTGCTGAGAATTCTTGTATGGTGAGCTTAAAAACCCAAGTGAAAAGTCTCAGGAAACTAAAGTGCAATCTTTTGGCAGTCCAGCCCAGTGGTAGGTGCTGCAGAGAGTATAGCAGGCTTCAGAAAAATGTTTTGTTCCTAAGGAACATAGGACCTAAAACTAAGGCAAAAGAGCAGACAACAGAAAAGCACCCACAGATGATCCTGAGATTGGACTTAGTGGTGGACAAGGACTTCCAGATAACTGTGACTAATGTGATGAAGACAACAGAGAAGATGGAGAAGCTAGACCACTGCTATTAAATCCACCTAATATATATGTTCTTGGTTTTACGTGTTTTGGTTTCGGGATTTCCATTTGATTCTCTTTTGTGGAGTTCACTTGTCAGTGGAAATTACTGTGTTATCTGTACCCTCCATCTTTTCCTTTATTTCCCATGTGCACGTGACAAGAATGCCTGGCTTCCATTTGTCGAATGCAATGTCCTATATATACATACCAGTTAGGTCAAGTGTGCCCCGAGCTTCACTGATGTGTGTATATAATCTCCTAGCTCTGTTGCCATAAGGGCTCCTGTGTTTGAATAAGGCCTTGTTTCTTGATCTGGGACCTAGTATGTTCACTTGAGTTGCACACATGGAGTTTGTTCTCATTTATGTATATATATATATATATATATATTTTTTTTTTTTTCAATACGGAAGCTACCAAAAATACCTAAGAGACCATTTCCTTTTCTCTTAGTGATTTCAAAGACAGAGATTATTTTCCATTTACCAATTAGAAATGGCTAGATACAACAAATACTTTGCTGATAATAGTCTGCAAATGCCTGGTAGAACAGAAGAACCTATTACAGCAATGATGAAGTTTTGGGTGTAGTTCATGCTCTCAGCTGTTCACCAGCAAAGAGGAGATTTATGTCTGCCCAAAGGCACCATGGAAGAACGGCCAGGTGATTTACTTCTGAAAAATCACCCATAGGCAGGCCTCTAGAGCACAGTTCTAATGTGACATCCATGCGGTCGCCAGATGTCTGAGTCTAATATCTGATCCTGGTTTTATGGGAATGACAACAAATGCATTACTTTGACTGGACAAAGCCCTAAGGGCAGAAACAAACCTCGAAGAAGGCTGACTTCTTTAGACAACTTGAATTGTTGCCTAATGGTGTATAATAAGCATTTTTGAAAACTGCATTTCTGTCTGTAAAGCTTAGTCATTTCTCATTAGAATAATTTTCTAAATCTATTTAAGATGCATCTTTAATGCTAAGGAAATGTTTTAATAACAGGAACAAATAGAGAAGGAGAAGCAGCAGAATGACGGAAGATCCATGAGTGAAAAGATCTTTGAAAAGAAACGTAAGTCGTTTTCCTCTGCTTTCCCCACTCACACAATTGATGTCCATCCCGGTGCTCTGAAAGATCATGCTGAGGTGTTAATTTGATTCGAATCGTTGCTTCACCATCTTTTCTGTTGCTAAAGTTTGTTTTCGATGATTAGCTGTTCATGTGGTACAGATGCTCGGACCCAAGCATAAGCTGGTACTCAGTGCAGAGGTTCACGGTTTCAAAGGGGATGATGAGCACAGCGCCTGCCTGGGGCCTTAAAAAGCGTCAGCCAGCCTTCCAAGCTATAATAACAGGTCTCCATCCCACGGGAGTCTCCGAGGAAGGTGAACCAGGAATTGCAGGAGGAAGTACTGCCCTGTCGGCCTCCTGCGCCTTTAGACCAGATGGTGCTACTCTTATTGGCAAATTTGACTTAAGGTTCTACAGGAGAATCCTGATCAAAAGGTGGGGATGGGGAAGGCATATAACACAATTTCAAATACTCAATGCAACCCACATCTCAGAACCATTGAGGCTGGACAGATACCCAACTTTATTACCCTGAGGTAATCTTCCAAAAAACCTTAGTCTTTTGGAAGACTAAGAAATTTTCCTCAGAAATTTGCTTAGATCCAAACAAGAGTTTAGCTTAATTGATAAAATATATCTGTCATCGGCATTGAGCTCTTTTCAAAGATTGGTCTTTGTGGGATCCAATTGACATCAGCATCCCAAAGGTTAGGTGGAAGTTTTACCCTCCATCTTTTTTCTTTTTTTCCATGTGCACTTGACAAGAATGCATGGCTTCCATTTGTTGAATGCAATGTTCTATATATACTTACCAGTTAGGTCAAGCGTGCCCCAAACTTCATTGAGATATATATATATATATATATATGAGCTCTTTGATTCATAAGGATGGGAGAAATTGGAAAAGGAGAGCAAGATTGATTCCACTTCTCAATCGGTGTAAACAGTTATGTTGAGTTTGTTGGAATGGTGCATCCGGTGTTGAGTATGTTTTCACCAAGATAAATAAGATTGATTTGTACAAAAGAAGGTCTTGGGCAACTCTGACAGCAATACGTAATAAGGAGTAATAAGATTGTGAAATTGCTCACCGAGTAACCAAGACTGAGCGATGTCAGGTAACACTGCTCAGAAAGAGTGATACTTATCTAAAGTAGTGATTACTAGTTTCTGTGTTGTTGTATCTATTTATAGAGCCTAATAAGGTCTTGGAGGCAATTAGAGAACTTAAAACAGACTTTGTTTTAGGCAGAGACACTAAGACATCGACAAACCTGCCCAAGAACATCCCTGTTTCGGTTCCTGGCCCCTCTTCTGCCAACCCAGCGACAAGTAAGAATTACCTTTTAACAATGTCTCTTTTCTTTTTAAAAAATTTTTTGGCTTTCTTTTTTTTAAATCATTTTATTAGGGGCTCATACAACTCTTATCACAATCCATATATACATCAATTGTGTAAAGCACATTTGTACATTCATTGCCCTCATCATTCTCAAAACATTTTCTCTCCACCTAAGCCCCTGTCATTAGGTCCTCACTTTCCCCCCCCCCCCCCCCTCCCCCCCTCCCTCATGAACCCTTGATAATTTATAAATTATTATTTTGTCATGTCAATGTCTCTTCTAATATTAATTTCAGAGAGAGCCACTCAATTTGGAGATACAGTGTCCTCAGCATGTCGTGCATTTTATTGTTAGTTATTTTGATGGTTCTTAATGGGTAGCACAACTTAAAGTGAGAAGAAGCAGCTGTAATCATCCATTAATAACCGGAAGGCACGCCATGTGAATTTAGGAAAACTGAGGTGGAACGCAAAACAGCGATGTCCTGGGTGTTGTGGTTGTTGTTAGGTGCCATTGAGCCAGCAGTTCCAACTCCTACATCAAGAGTAGGCTGCAGAGACTCTTCTGAAGCCCACTTTGCTCGTTGTTCTCTTTTGTGTCTCTAATGACCTCTTGCTTTTGTCGTGTGTGATGCTCCTGATGCCCTCCCACAGCTCGTCAGGCCTTCTGCCTTTAGTCTCCAGTGAACAGCACACAAGCCACCACTTGTCTATCAGTTTGTCCCACTGCGGTGGCTTGCATGCTGCTGTGATGCTGGGAGCTATGTCACCTTTTAATAATACCAGCAGGGTTATCACAGTGAGCATGTTTCCTTGGAGCTTCCAGACTGAGAACCTACTGCAGCATGGACTGTCCCCTGTGGATGGATTGGCCACTGAAGGCCTTATAATTAGCAATGGGACACTGTCAGATAGAGTACCAGAAAAGGTCAGAAGGCACTCAAAAGCCGACTGAGGAAGAGCTCCTTTGTCAGCGTTGACTCACCATCATGATGTGGATGGAATAAAGCCTTCAGGATCTTCACTTGCTGATGGGCTATGACTGAAAATGTGAAGGAAGAGCTGGAGACATCTGTTAGTAATCAGAATATGGAATGGACAAAGTATGAATTGAGGGAAATTGGAAACCCCCCAAATTGCAGTGCATGAAAATTGATATTCTAAGAATTAGCGAGCATAGATGAACTGGTCGGTAGGAGCCATTTTGAGTCAGACAGTCATATGACTTATGCTGGAAATGACAAAATGAAGAATGGCGTTGAATTCATCATCAAAAAAGATTTCAGGATCTATCTTGAAGGACAGTGCTGTCTGTGGTAGGATAATGTCTGTATGCACACAAGGAAGTCCAGGTAATGACACTGCTATTCGAATGTACACACCAACACTAAAGTCAGCGATGAAGAAGTTGAAGAACTTTACCAGCTTCTCCAGTCTGAAATTAATCAAACGTGCAATCCCAGTGCATCAAAAATGATCAGAAATTGGCATGGGAAACAGAAATTAGGATCAGTAGCTGGAGATTGCATGACAGAAGTTTGCAAGACTCGTGAGTTTTTCACTGCAAATGCTTTTTTAAAACAACAGAAACAGTGACTAGTCACGTGGACTTCACCAGCTGGCATACACAGGAACCAAATTGACTACATCTGTGAGAACTATGAGGCAGTTCAATATCAGCAGGCAAATCCAGATACTAACCGTGGCACAGACCACCAATTGCTCGTATATAAGTTCAGGTTGAAGTTGAAGAACATTAAAACAAGTCCATGAGGGCCAAAATATGACCTTGAGTATATCCCACCTGAATTAAGAGAACATCTCAAGAATAGAAAGCATCAGTGAGCTGAAGGGCATTGGTATTGGCCATTTTGAATCAGACAATTATATGGTTTCCCAAGTCAGGAATGACAAAGTCAATAGAAATGGAGTTGCACTCGTCACCAAAGAGAACATTTCAGACCTACCTTGAAGTGCAATGCTGTCTATGATAGTATTTTTACACCTATAAGAATTCTAGTTCCTAAATGTTTCCTCCCCGCTCCCACTATCATGACTCGAATTCGACCTTGCAAGTCTGGCTAGACCAGAGGAGGTACACTGGTACAGATAGGAACTGAAAATACAGGGAATTCAGGGCGGATGAGCCCTATAGGACCAGTGGTGTGAGTGGCAAAACAGGGAGAGTAGAGGGAGAGTGGGTAGGAAAGAGGGAACCGATGACAAGGAACTATATGTGACCTCCTCCCTGGGGGACAGACAACAGAAAAGTGGGTGAAGGGAGACGTCAGACAGGGCAAGATATGACAAAATAACAATTTATAAATTATCAAGGGCTCATGAGGGAGGAGGGAGCGGGAAGGGAGGGGAAAAATGAGGACCTAATGCCGGGGGTTTAAGTGGAGAGAAAATGTTTTGAGAATAATGTACAAATGTGCTTTACACAATTGATGTGTGTATGGATTGCAATAACAGTTGTATGAGCCCCTAATAAAATGTTTTAAAAAATAAAATAAAATAAATTTTTAAAAAAGGAATTCTAGTTAATACAACTTTATTCAAATTTCACACCAGCCACTACAATGAGTGGTCAAGAAATTAAAAGATTCTACTACCAACTTCTTCAGTCTGAAATTTATCAAATATGCAATCAAAGATGCATTGATAATTATTGGCAACTGGAATACAAAAGTTGGCAACAGTGATGAAAGATCAGTGGTTGAAAAATATAGCCTTCGTAGCAACAAAGCTGGAGATCGCATGATAGGATTCTGCAAGACCCATGACTTCTTCATTGCAGATACCATTTTTTTCCCAATAAAATAAATTGTGACAAGCAGACCTAGTGAGACAGAATACACAGGAATCAAATGGACTACATTTATAGAAAGAGGTGATGAATAAGCTCAATGGCATCAGCCAAAATAAGGCCACAGCCCCACTGTGGAACAGACCATCAATTGCTTACATGTAAGTTCAGGTTGAAGCTGAAGAAAATTAAAACAAATCCAGGTGACCTTGAATATATCCCACCTGAATGTAGAGAACATCGCAAGAACAGGTTTAAGGCATTGAATATTAATGAACATCAGACCTGATGAGTTGTGGGATGACATCAAGGACATTATGCACGAATAAGGCAAAAGGCCATTAAAAAGAAAAAAAGAAAGAAACCAAAGGAGATGTCAGAGCAGACCCTGAAGCTTGCTCGTCGGTGTGGAGCAGCTAAAGAAATAGAAGGAATGGTGAAGGAAAGGAATTGAGCAGACAATTTCCAAGGACACTTGAGAAGACAAAGTATGAGAATGAATGTGCAAGACTTGATATTAGAAAGCCAAAAAGGCAGGAACACAATCAGCAATTCATAAGCTGAGAGAACTGAGGGAAATTCCAAGCCTTGAGTTATAATATTGAAAGGATCTATGGGCAATATATTTACTGTATAGGAAGCCTGAAATGAAGATAAAAGGAATATGCAGAATCTCTATATCAAAGAGAAATGATCGATGCCAAATCTTTTAAAGAGGTAGCATATGATCAAGAAATGGTATTACTGTAGGAAGCTGGAATGCTGATTGGACTGTTTCAACAAGCCATTGCAGGTCTGGAAGCACTTACCTGCTCCAAGAAATTTGGAAGACAGCTACCCGCCAACTGGCTCGAAGAGGTACATATTTGTGCCCATGCCAAAGAAAGGTGACCTCACATAATGTGGAAATTATTGAACAATATCATTAATATCACATACAAGTAACCGTTTGCTGAAGATCATTCAACAACAGTTTCAACAGTACATTGGCATAAAGCTGCCAGAAATCAAGCAAGATTCAGAAAAAGATATGGAATGAGGGATAGTATTGATGCCTTCAGATAGATCTTGGCTCAAAGTAGAATACACATAACAATGATTATGTGTGCTTTCTTGACTATGCAAAGACAGTCAACTGTGTGGATCATCATAAACTATGGATCACATTGAGAAGAATGGGAGTTCTAGAACACTTCATTGTGTGTAGCGTTTGGTGACGGCACGGGCCAGAAATGAAGACGCGGACACGGAAAATGTGGTTGGACCCAGCGAAGGGCTGACACCGCTGTGCTGGGTGTAGCACAGAGGGCTGCCCTGCACGGCCTTTTATTTTCTTAGCTAGCTAAGGCACGGGTTAGTAAGCATGTCTGCACTTTCTCAAAGTAAACAAGGAACGAGGGAGCAGACTAAGCACTAGGTTCTCATAACAAACTGCCTTATCAGGAGACTCAAGGTTTCTGTCCTTGGGAAGGAGCACAGTGCCCTGGTGTCCATGGAAACCGTCCACTGCCCTGGGTCTCTGTTAACTCCTTCGGGGCCAACAATTGTGCTCATTTCGAACCTATGCATAGACTAATAGGAAGATGTTGAAATCGAACAAGGGGCTGCCGAGTGGTTTAAAATCAGGACAGGTGTGCGTCAGGGTTGTATGCCTTCACCATCGGCAAGTCATCAGAGTAGCTGGATTCTATGAAGAAGAACGGGGCATCAGAATTGGAGGGAGGCTGATTAACAATCTGCAAAACACCGATGCTCAACCTTGCTTGAACACGGACAGCCAGAAAGCCACTTCGAATTGCAGGTGGTGTTCTTTGGACATGTGATCAGGAGAGACTAGTTCCTGGATGGTGAACTAGAGCATCCGTGAAAAGGGAGGGAGACCTCCGACAAGAAGGCTCCAGCCCAGAATGGCTACAGCAGTGGGCTCCAGATAACCACTGTGAGGATGGCGTGTGGCTGAGCGGTGTTTCCTTCTTTTACATAGGCTTGCTGTGAGTCAGAGCTAACGATGGCACCTGACGACCACCACCACAGTGATAGATTCTAATCAGCCTCTACAGGGGAAAGAAAGCCCAGTTCATCTGTGTTTTCCTGTGAATTCTGGGGGTTGGGTACAGGATGGGAGTTAGGACAAGCATGCATGAATTGAGCACTTAGTTCCACTCCCCTTATTTCTGTTTCTTATCCTAGGCAAAGAAATCAAGAAATCCAAATTGATTCGAAGCCAGTCTTTTAATAATCAAGCTTTTCACACAAAATATGGTACCTTAGACAAGTGCACTAGGTATGATCTGACTACTTTTAAATTTAATTTCTTAATTTATAGCCACATTAATTTATTTAATAATTTATTTATTTTATTTAATTAAATTTAATTTATTTCGTTAATTAATGTATAGCCATATATCTTTGTTTATGTGAAGTTTTTAGATTGTTATGAAAATCAAGACATTTGAGTTTCTTTATTGAACAATAAATAGTTTTCTTCTGAATAGATGGTTGCATTAAAAAAAAAAAAGAAGCCCACTGAGGTATCTAAGAATAAGTGTCCTAGCATCCTAGGATGCATTCTGTGCTCACCTTAAGTGCTAACCTCATGAAAGGCATGTATGGATTCTGAGTATGCCATAGGCCATACTCGTAAGTGTCAGCTGTGGACTTTTGTCAGCCGCTTAGTACATCAACCGGTGTGCTCTGAGTATGGCTGCGTTTCTATGAAGAAGCCGCTAGCCAACTAGGACTCCCTTGACACAAGATGCATGTCTGGTTTTCTCCTCAGCTCCAAAGCCAAGGTGCTCAACTGTATGGCAAGGAGAACATTAGCATTCACTAAATAATCATGTGATTTAATAGGTGTAGGCAAGATAGCATGTAATATTTACCTAGCAACTGATAAGAATTGTTTTAAAATGTAAATGCTTTTTAAATTCCCACCTGCCTATTAAAATAAGTAACATCTGACTCAAAACACAGATTTTTATTTTATTAGCGGTAGCCCATTGCGGATTTTCAACCATGTTTTGACATTTTCAATACATGTATACAGAATTCTTATCCAACAGGGCAATCTCAAGCTGGACAAAGGGGATTAGAAATAAAGGTCGGTTGTCAAGAAAATGTACTCATGTTACCTTTGTTAGCTGAGTGTAAAATAAAATCCAACCCTGCTATTCCAATGCTAGTGTTTAAGAAAGCGCTTTAGGGAACAAAGAAAGAGTCGTGAGGCCTAGAATGTGCAAATCAGTGAGAACCAAACGCAGCAAACATTTTGTAGGAAACGGTAATGTAGAAGGAGAGTGGCTAAGCTAGACCGTGTGCTTGCTGACCGTGGCCCAGAGCAGCGACCTCTTGTACTGTAAACATAATCATGCTCTTTTCCAGTAAAAGTTCTACCGCGGGATACGCAGGCCCTGTCTCAGGGATAACAAAGACTTCTATACTTTCACTAACTGGTAAGTAGCTATCTGAGACCTTCTAGGAAATACTACATTTAAAAAAAAGATAGTCTTTAGATAACCTGTTTTTTTTTTTTAAAAACCTAGATATAGTGTTTTTTCTAAATCTATATTTTTATTAAGTCACTAAGAAATGTGACTCTTCCCTAGCAATTGAGGAAATGCTTCACCCCAGCTACAGTATTACTTTGTGTTTTTCACTGCGCTGAGTATTTTCAAAAGAGAGAGAGGACATCCTAGTCAACATTCTGCTGATTTTTAAAGATTTTTGCAATCATTTTTGAGGACATTGAAATCAATACGGCTTTACCATGGATCATACGAGTCCTACAAAATCCTTGACAAAGCCCCCTCCAGACTGTCCCGGGAGAATCTGAGAAACTGTCACAGCTGAGGAGCCTACACAGGCAGGGCAACTAAGGCAAATGTGATCTACTGCATGGGATCCTGGGACAGTAAGAGACCTTGGATGAAAAAAGAGAATTCTGAATGAACTAGGGACTTAGTGAATAATACTGTATCACCATTGATTCATCCTGTGTAGTGAGTAGAGCATGAGAATGTGAGATCTGAATGCCCTCTAAGAAGGGCATGTGGAAACTCTTTACTTCCCTTCTCAATTTTTCTGTAACTTTAGACTTTGGAAAACAGAGTATATTTAAAAATACCTTTTGAAGTAGTTTCAAAAGCATGAAATGTTTAGGGAGAAATTCACCCGAATATGTATAGTATGTACACTAAACCCCATGAAAACATTGGTGAAGGAAATCAAAGACCTAGATAATGGAGAGAGAGACTATGTTTAAGGAGCCCTGGTGGCTATACTTTGAGCCGCTCAGCACAAGGCCCGGGCTTCCAGCCCACCAGCCAATCCAAGGCAGAAGGCTGAGGCTGTTTTCCCGCCTACACATTTGACGTCTTAGAAATCCACCAGGACTGTCGCGTGTCAGCATTGGCTAGAGGACCTGAGTCTGAATGTTGTGACAGTTTGACCCCATGTTTGTGGATTGGATGATTAAACAGATTGCAAGGTCAATTCTTCCCGAATAGAATACAATCAAAATTCTTGCAGTCTTTTTGTAGAGATGCATAAGCTGATTCTAAAATCTGTATCCAAATGCAAAAGACCTTGTTTAGTCAAAACAGTTTTGAAGAAATAATTGGAGAACTTAAACTACTTGATTTCAACACTTACAAAAAGCTCTAGTAATCAAGAGTAACCACTCTTGATTTTCAACAGAGACTCCAAGAGGAATCAATGGGGTGGAATTTTTTTTCCCCCTTAAAAAACATGATGCAAGAACAAATGGCTTCCGTGTGTAGCATAAAGGGACCTCACCTCGTCTCTCACACTCAATGATTACACAGAGTTAGCGCAGATTAGAGGATACACTGGACAGCTGCGCCCAGGAAGTTTAGGGAAGAAAATGTAGAAGAAAGGCTTTGTCATTTGACCATTAACAAAGATTTCTAACCATAAAAGTCAAATAGGAACGTATCAAACTTCACCAATAGTTAAGCTCATGCTGTTTGAAAGGCACGGACTGGGAGAAAATGTTCATAATACATCTGCCCGACAGAGAACTTACACCAGAATATATAGAGAAATCTTTTAAACCTAATAAGAAAAAAGGCAACTCAATTTTAAAATGGCGAAAGATTTGACTATTCACTTTACAAAAGAAGATAAGCATAGGGAGATAACATTACTCTTGGGGAGACTTAAGCTAGAGGGACGATGATAAAGATAAATTTGGTGGGGATAAAGTGCTATACCTGCCACTAAAACAAACAAACAAAAATCGTTTTGAGTCCATTCCAACTCACTGTGACCCTATAGGACAGGCTAGAACTTCTGTGCTACATCTCCAATGCTGACCTGTTTACTGGTGAGCAGCTAAGTGCTCAACCCCGGTGCCAGCAGGGTCTCATAATCCTACTCAAACCAAGCAGAGCTCACTGTACCACTAGACACTAGAACGTCTGGACACGTTTAAAGAAAAGCTCTGTAGCACCAAGTGTGGTGAGAATGTGGAATACCTAGGACTCTCTTACTTGGCTGGGCACAAGCCTTTTGGAAAGTAGTTTGGTAGCTTACTGTAAAGATAGATATAAATATTCATGCCCATTCCAGCAGATCTACTCCTAGGCATTTACCAACCAGAAGTGAAACGTACATCCACCCACAGACGTGTTTGTAAGTGAAACCAGACACAGTTCTCTCACCAGGAGATGGAGAAACAATTTCCATTTATGCAGTACAATTCTAGTCAGCCGTAGAAAGCAACAGAGTGGAGGAATCTCAAAGTAATTATCCTGATGGAAGAAGTCAGGCTAAAAAAAGGTATATACAGTATGATTTCACTTATAAAACTATTTAAGAGTCCATAGTTAAACTGGAAGCAAATGGGTGGTTGCATGGGCTTGGGGGAAGGCATGCAGGTAAGGGGCTTCAGTGGGGCTGCAGCAAATGCTCGCTAGTGATGGCTGCACCCAACATCCTTATGGCGTCAGGGCTCCATGGGTGGGTGTGTCGAAGATTCATGCAGTTTAATGTGTGAAAATGATACTCTAATCAAGTTGATTTCAAAAGAGAAAAGACAAAACCAGCGTTCACCGTCTCCATCGTTACCCCTCTCTTGGGTATGTTTTATCTCCATGGACTGCTTGCAGATGACTCCTTCCGGCCCACCCGTAATGCCAGTAGCCTCCCTGCGGCCTTTTCTCCCAGCACTCCCTTACCAAGCACTTCCCGGGGGGCAAGTCATGTAGCTGATGCCAAGAGCAGCGGAAGTAAAGACCAGCAACGGAAGGCTCCCTTGTAAGTACTCGGGCTGTCCCATCCTCCTTTTCTCTGCAGTTCCCCTCCCGAGTAAACATTTCCCCGAAGGCAGGAGTCTAGGGAGGAAAGCTTAGGCACTAAGAGCGATGCTTATCACAGGTGACTCTGTTAGGCTACAGTGTGTATATGAGAGGATTTATACAAGGGGCCTTCTGAAACTGTGCAGAAAGAATAGAATGGAATGATAATGGAGTTTTCCCCACAGACTTCTGGAAAACCCCTTGTAGATGGCAAGACGTGGACGCATTAGGGACTCAAGAAGCATTTAGGCGGCCCACTCATATCTGGACTCCATTTGTTTTTCTGGAAATGGTTGACTCCGGGGAATTGACTTCTCAGGCAGCAGGAGTGTTTCTGCAACCCTGCAAACAGCACTAAGTGCGTGGCGGTTCATGCTCCCTGCCCTAAAGAGGGGCACAGTGACGGCCGTGTCAGGGACCCAGAGTGGTGGGCCCAGTAAACAAGACCTGCTCACACACTGACCTGGTGCCTTCATGTTGAGGGGACCCCAGGATCTTTGTTCTCTTTCCTTCATAGCCCCACTTTTAGGTCCTGGCTGTGTCTTGTAGGAGTTAATAGAAGCCCTTGTTTCTGGTACCTTTAAGTTTCAGAGGCCGCAGTATCTTAGAGAATCACCCCAATGAGCGATCATACCAATGTAGAAGTGATTCCACCAAGGTGCTCCCACTAGAGTTTTCACGTTAGAGTCTTATGAGAACTCTATACAGGAGCCTACTCATGAGAACACTGTTTAAACAGGACTCCGGTTTCCTTTAATGCATGGACATTTTCTAATAACAGTTTCTCAAATGTCTCTTTGCAGAAATTCCATGCTGGGTTTTTCTTTTTTTTAAGTTTATGTGGTCATTTATTCTACACTGTGATTGGCCATTGAGTATACAAGTATGTATACAACTTAATGCAGAAATTTTAAAACAAATTCATTGAGTGGAGCTCAAGGGAATAGTAGGAATATAGAATATAAACAAGTGATAGTGATAGAAGGAGAACATCATATTGCTATTTCAGATTAGAAGCATTAATATTGAGGGGCTTTCTAATGATCTTGTTGAAACAACCGAAGGCACTTGACCCACCCACACAATCACTGACCTATTGATTACACATTTCATTTAAGAGTCATGGCATTAGGGGCAGCACAGTGTCTTGGCCTAGAGAGTGGGGGCCTCATTGTGCAGGTGTGTAGCATGACCGGGTGACTCAAGGTTCATCCTCTACGGTGCCTTCCAACCCCAGCATCATGAGATCTTCCTGCTCTGTGCCCATAAGCCTCTCCTCTGAAGACTTGCCGGACTCCTTCCTTGGAAGGACATGTTGAATAACAATACAGTGGAATTCATCTGCTTCTTAACTTACTGTTCTAAGGGATTTATGCAGACATACAGTAAAGGCCATTTAAACCTAGTATATTTCTACCAGCTCTCCTTTATTTCAGGCGACTCCCTTTATCTGTTCTCCCATTGTTAGAGTGTGTTTTTCCTTTTGACAAGACAATTTTCTTTCCCTTGAAAAAAATAAATAAAATTGGTGGTTTAAAAAAATGAATCTAGAGGGGAAGGGGCGGCAGGTGCCAGTCAGGCCGCGAAGGTGGCAAGAAGCCCCTGAAACAACCCAAGAAGCAGAACAAGGAGATGGATGAGGAAGATACGGCTTTCAAGCAGAAACAGAAGGAAGAACAAAAGAAACTGGAGGAGCTAAAGGCGAAGGCCGCGGGGAAGGGGCCCCTGGCCACCGGCGGAATTAAGGAATCTGGCAAAAAGTAAGATGTTCTTGGTGACTGAGGCAATGATGACCCTTGATTCCGTTCCTGTGTAAACATCTGGATTCCCTGCTATAACATTTGTTGCCACTTAGAATGAAATGTTGTCTTGGAGCCTGCTGACACTTAAGAATAAACTTTTGTAAAAAAGAAGAAAAATCACACAATGTTTAGTTCTTCTCACTCAGCCATTTCTGTCTTAGCTGTGAGATCAGAGTGAGCCCAGTCCAGAACCTGCCAGGGCTGCTCCTCAGTCTTTGTGATGCCCAGCATTCTGGACCATCTGGAATTCAAGCAACTCATTTGAAATTAAAAAAAAGAATCTAGAAATGTTCTGCTAACAAATCACACATGAGGTGGGTTTTTGCCTTTGCTGAGTAGCCTGAAAGAGGGTGGATGTTGGAACCCAAGGCTCTTTTCTAATGTGGCTGGACAGAAAGGCCCCTGATGAGATTGCCATCGAATGTGGCTCCAGCGTGGGCTTTTTCCGGAGCGTGCCCGCGCATGGAGAAGAGGATTCAAATGAATGCTGTTCTTTTTCTGTGAAGTTGCAGCCATAATCCAGAGCCGTGCCACATAAAGGAAACTGCATCCCTGAAAAACAAGAAGCCCAACTCGGCTTCTCATAAAAATCATATGCAATGCATGTCATAGACATGCCACCCTGGGGATTTAGGACTCTCCGTCTCTGGAAGGAAATACACCCCCTCTTCCTTATTGACAGGTTAGCTTACAAGGACTAAGCACCGAGCATAAATTGGAGTTAGGGGGAAGTGGAGGATGACCACATTATTACAGGATGGCCAAACCAAGAATCATAGCTCAGTCAAGTTGACACATGACCTTAGCCCTCACAGCCAGCATTACTCTTATCTAAAGCCTCAGCGCGTGTAACTTGTAGGCATTTGTCATTAAAACACACAATAGCCAGATAGTAGATTATGTTGTGTAGTAAATGCAGAATGTTGCGTTAACAAGAGAGTTGCCAAGTGGGAGTAGGTCTAGAGGTATGTATCCTGGACTGATGCCTTTGGAGGCCAGACAATGGATCTATTTAGGCCTGTGTTAGTTTGTTACAGCCAAATGAAAATGCCAATAGGATAAAGATGAGGCTGTCTGCCCCTGTGAAGATTTACAATCTCAAAACCCCACCGAAAGTTTTTCTCTGGGTTGCTGTGAGTCAGTAGTGGGTATACAAAATGCAAAATGATGGCAAGTTATATGAGCTCATTTTTGCCCCAATGGGATGCTAAGTACACATGTGATTTTTTTAAATCATGAAATGTATTTTCATGAAATCCTTAGTACAATTAATTTTTTCCATGAGTCAGCATTCTCCTATAACAGGTCTATTTAAAGTAGATTCTATCTATATATTTTTATGTACCTTTTAACATTACATGGTTAATGTTCCTTTCTTTCCTTTTTTTCTTCCTTGGTTTGTCCCTTTTCTCTTTCCCTCTCATCCTTTTTTTTCTTATCATTTTTTGGCAAAGAAAATCCAGAAAGTCCAATCCTTAAATCATCTCCTTGAAGGATGGAGGCTAAACAGAGAGAGCTGGCGAGACCGTGATTGACGGACAAATGCTATAGCAATGGCTGGGCTTTTTGTGTTTCACACTTTTTTAATGACTGGAGAAGAGAGCTGTCATAGCATCCAATGTTGCTGAACTTTCCCTATCTGAAATTAGATTCCCTAGGAGGTATAATAGATATTTCTATAATAATGTGATTGCAGAATTCCAATGTTTCGCAGAAGTCTAGCAAAAACAAGCAGGAAAACCCAAACAACTTTAGGTCTGTGCTCCCCCTCCTGCTGCAAAAGAGACACACCTGCCTTTATCCATGCGGAACCATCTATTTCACTTAGAGTTTCAGCATTTCAAAACTGTCCGAAGTTGAGTTGGCGACTGACCACTTGGAGCAGGCCTGGAGAGGGAGGGGCTGAGTGCATTTTCTAACCCATCTTCCAGCCCCGCTGAAACGTCACACCCAGGAGGGAGGGTCCCAAAGCCACCTGACTGCAGGGACATGCACCAATTTAAATTTGGCAAAGAGAATCCTTTGAAGATTTCCGATCACTTTTAGCTACCAGTACCTGAAAAATGATAGATTGATGATTTCCTTTCATGTCCCAGAAGAATTTATTTTATAAATCTGTTGTTTACGTTTTAGATTGTATTTGTCCTGACTTAATTGAAAATGATGACTAGTTTGAACCGGCTGTTATTCCAAGCTATCATGCTTAAGCGATGCCAACAGCATTGGTTTATACTGATGCTAACGCTACCAGCAGAACTTGCCTGCGAAGCATAAACCATTCTTAATTTGAAAATATTTGAGATGTACTGTATGAAGCTATTGTCAGCTTCTGTATTTCAAAAATGTAGTCAGCATATCATTATATTGCTATTAGAAGATATTTGGTTTTTTAAAAAATATATATTGATGTATGATAAAGATCATCTAATTTGTGAAGGCCTATGTGTGTGTGGTTACTTTTTATAATGTGAATAATGAATAATGAATTTACCCCAAATAAAACATAGGTCAAAGGAAAACCTATGTTTGTGAAAAGTTTAAAACATTTTCCTGCAGTTTTTATTTTGTAATTCAAGAGTAAGATGGTGCACATCTAAGGGATGAGTGAGAGAAGCGGCCTCTCCTAGCAGCTGTGACTCCTGGGGGAGGATTAGTCCGTGCCAGGCCTGCTTCCCCTTGGCCTCTCCCTCGTACAGAGTCCTGGTGGTACAGTGGTTCAGCGCTCGGCTCTCACCCAGTGGGGCTGCAGGGGGAACCTACCAGTTGTTGCGTGGGAGAAAGGTGCGGCAGTCTGCTCCCAGAAAGGTTGACGGCCTTGGACATCCCCCGCGGCAGCTCTACTGTGTCTGACAGGGTCCCTATGAGCCAGACTCAATTTGATGGAATGGGTTTGGCTTTTAGCTTTCACCCTCTTTGTTAACATTTACCTTACTAACCACAAGATTTGCGGTTCAAATCCACCAGCCGCTCCTAGGAAGAAAGTTAAGGCTGGCTGCTCCTGTAAAGACAGACCGTCTAGGAAACCTCTAGAAGGTCTTTAAGAGTCAGAATCAACTTGAAGGCAGTGGGCTTCATGGCCTTCTCTGTTTGGGCTTTCTTTTTAAGTGATCCTTAATAGTCTTCATCAAAGAGCAGTCAAGTAAATGGAACTGTGCCACATACTAATTTCATTTGACAGTAGTTAACAATTGGGTGGGTGTGAGGAAGTTGATGTGATTGCCCTTAGGGCATTACTGGGGGTGCTGGAACTAAGGATCTCTCCCTCGATGGTGTGGGTTACATCGCTCCTCAAACAGGACGGAGCAGTCAGCTGCACGATGGCATGACAGGGGCCCCGATCCTCTGCGCTCTGGTTGCTTCTCAGCGCTGACAACACGGGCAACTGTGTTGCTAACTAATACATCTAACTCACTGAGTTCTAAGGTTTTATTTTCCCACTACACATGTGGGACAAGAAGAAAGGGATTGGACCAAGAAAAATTATTACTAATAAAATGTAGGAATACAGAGAAGCCGTCCACTGCAATCTTATTCCTAGGCCCTAAATTACCACTTAACAAGAGTTAAATCCAAATTACTTTGGGAAGTGTCTTTTTAAAATAATTTTTTAACATATCATGATAATAAAAATCCTTGAAATCAGTGTTAAAATTCTACTTCCAAGGACAGATATATAGAAATAGAAGAACAAATAAGTGACAGTCACGAATAGCCACCTATTTATATCAGAAAACAAGACACCGCAGATTCTTGTCAAAGCTCTCTGTTGAACAGCTTAATTGGATCCTTCAAATGGGTGATGCTGTATTGGAAGCGCTTCTTCTACCTGCAGCTGCGAGAGAAGGCAAGGAAAGCTCTTCCCTCCACCTATAGCAGCAGGGGGAAGACCCCTCTCACTCATCTTGGGTGAGCCCTGCAAAGCTTGCACTTTAAAGGTGGCCTCTAGAATCTCATCATGAGCTCTACAAGCCCAAAACAAGCCTCCACAGCTCAGAACTCCTGCCTCTGAAAGGGAGATGGGCTGAGAGAGACTCCCCCGAGTAGAAGGGGAACGAGAAGCCACAGTTTCCCTTCCCCACTGCACACACATCTGGACGGTCATTCCTGAGCCTGGATGTGCTGTTCTGAAAAGAAGGTGCCCATGAGATAGACTTGATTCAGGCTCCTCAGCACGGGTTCTTGTTCAGCATGGAGGATCAAATTCAGTAACAATGTCTCTAACGTCTTGGCACGTGACTGTGAGCATACTGTGTGTGGGGGGGGTGTGTGTGTGATGGGGGTGGGCGTCGTTAGGGGTGGAGTCTGTGTAGGAGCACTTTAAAAACCACACTGGAATCTAGTGAACCCTTGTGCCATTTCCGGGTTGCTTCCCCCTCATTTGAAAACCTTGGATTGCCCAACACCAATTACCTTTTTCATGGGCCTCCCTGTTTCACTCTGCAAACATACCTGAAAAATTGAAAAATTTACTGACGGGGCGCATCTTCAACAAGCACAGGGGAGCAGTAAAAAATGCTCGCTCTAGGGAAGAGGGTCACTTCCTGACTTTAAGAGTGAGGTGCGAGATCTGGGGGGTAGGCTATTGTTTTAAGCAAGGGGGTGGTGGTGGTGTGATCTGTATTCCAGATGAGTCCAGTGGTGAGGAGCCATTCTGTACCTGAGGGTGGCCACGTTCATTCTAGCAGGCAGTGGGCTCTCGCAGACTCTCCTAGACGTTACCTCTCACACTGTGGGGCAATTGAGTGGGTCCTCTTGTGTTCTCACAAACAAACCTAACTAATTCAATGCAAACAAGTCACTGAGGAAGTAAGTCACTTGGGCTAGTCTTCCATCTTTGTGGCTCTCTTTGTAGACCCTAGAACTGCCTGGCCTTTAACAAGTGTCATTTAGCACCTTGGGGCTCAGTAGATCGATGAACCTCCATCTCTAGGCCACATCTTAATATTCTGACCTTAGTCTGGCTGATGTATATTGGTAATCAAGAAGGGGACTCAGTACATTAATTTTAGTGTATTTGCACTCTGGAAAGACAACAGAGAGAGGGAGTTGCATTTAGAACATCCAGTTAGGCCTTTAATCCAGGCAGTGGGTACTCCCAGATGGATTGACTTCAGTCACGGTTCTGGATTTACCCCTAGAATGGTTTCTGGTCTCTTTGACTGAAAATGACAACGTAGGAAGGCCGGAAGCGTGCCGGTTGTTTGCCTTCGCGCCTTGGGAAAGCTCCACACTTAGGTTCTGTGGCACCCCCATGGATAACCAAGAGCCACTCATGCCACCTGCCTGCTGGGTTCCATGTCAGCCTCCCCCCACCCACAACCACCCCCCGAGGTTTGGCCAGAAGGAAGGACGAGTAGAAAGACGACTTGGGAGAGGCTGGCCTCTAGTTGTCATTGCCCAGCTGCAGGACCGTCGGACCCTGCTGTCAATTCTCTGGGCAGGGGAGGACTTGTCCATTGAGTGTCCAATGAGGCATTATTGGACACCCACATTATTTTTAGGGGTTCTTGACAAATGTTTTACTTATCACAGTAAGCAAGATAGACACTTTGCAGGATGATTCTATTTGCTTGTTAAACCCATTCAGCTGTCAAATGGAACTTTAATATATTCTCTGCATTGGAACTTTAATATATTCTCTGCATTGGAA